GAGGTATCGGTCGGTGCTTGGTCGGGTTGGGGGGTGAGTTACCGGTCGGCTGGTGATGGGGTGTTGTATTCTCTTCCCTTGTTATTTCCTTTATCATTACTATTATTGGTGGTAGTGATTTGTGTTATACCTTAGTTACTAAACTGTTCTTACCTCAACCCATGGGAGTTGCATTCTTTATGATTCTCCTCTCTGTCCCTCTGGGAGTAGGGGGAGGAAATAAGGAGGGGGGAGTGAGTGGACAAGCTGTCTCGCATTGGTTAAACCACGACACCTATCACTACAGTCCCTGTATTTTCCCCAGTCAGAGGCATGGCTTTCTTTCCAAGAGAGGATACAAGTAGTCAGGCATATCCAGATGTTGTTTTGGTCAGCAGGGGCACTTCACACACATCTGGGAGTGAGGAAGAGCTCTGTCCTCCTGCTGAGACAGACCCAAAAGAAAAATCCACCACCAGGGAGATATAAGTCCTCATTTTGCCTAATTTGAAGAAGAGAGATGAGAATTTCTTAGAGATGAGAAACACTCCTTTGCCTCAGAACTGTTGCACATATATGTTATCTGTCTAAACACAGAAAAATCTGGTTTTACTCCCCACTTACTGTGATTGCAAACATCTCTGTGCAAATACCACATCCTGTCTTTGTGCATATTTGATGGACACCTGACTTCTAATATTGCATTTAGCATTTTTAAACCCATCTCCTAAAGACTTGAGAAATACTGAACGTGTTCTGTTGTGTCACAGTTTACAGAAAGTAAGTACTGAAATTGTGTCTGTCTAATGTGAATTTCTGTATACTTTTCTTTCTGAAAACACACACTGGGTGCCATCTGCCTTCTTGCAGCTTCAGTCAAAATTCACCGAGTTTGGCACTGCCTAACAAATAACTGTAATGTTATTTAACTTTGCCTTAGTGTAAGACAATTTCAAGTGGATGATAAACAGTCTCTACAAAACCCTTTTTATGTAAAAATGTAAGTGTCCAAAAGTTCATAATATGTGTATTTTGAAGAAGGGAACATTTGACATCTGGAATGTAAAGTATGATTTACATCTTTACACAACAGAGTTGTGTATAAAGCGTGTTCACTACATTTAAAAAACAAACTGCTGAGTTTGCACACTGAAGATCCAAAAATAAGAAGTCTTAAAATGCACACTTTAAGGTATTTTAAAATATCTTTTAAAATATTTAATTTAAAAATATTTCCTAGCCACACATTTTCACCTTCAAGCATTACTGGCACTGCAAGGCTTTGAGATCAGCATACATCTTAAGAAAACTCAAGCATTCAAAATGTGCATTTTAAGAGCTGTTCAGTGCTGGTAGGAATATGGTGAAGGTGATGGAGCATTTGGTTCCACTCAGGTTCTGCCTCTTACTTCAGAAGGTATTGCTGGATCACCATCTGCATATACCAAGTGAAACAAGAACTACACAGGAATCTTTTTAGGGCAGAGAAATGATGTGGAAGAACATATGTATTATTATATTGAGTATAAATAAACTGGTCCCTGTAAACACCAGGTACAGGCATAACAGACTTTTCAAATGTTTTTATGATACTATAAAAGGAAGGAGAAATTTGTTATCTGTTCATCTCTTAACGAAGTTAAATATTTGAAGATGTATCTTAAAAAAAAACCAAACAAATTATTTTTTAGAAAAAAAAAAAAACACCTCACAGATCAAATGTTACCGGTGTCTTTGGTGGAGGTAGGAAGCCAAATATCTGTTCTATTATTACATAAGATCTGCTCCCTCAACTGAACAAGCATTTTTCTTACAAAATGCTCAGAACATGGAGGAAAATGCAAATGTCTTGAAGAAGTGAAGCTCTTCTGTGGTGTTGCCAATATTCTATGCTTCATTTTGATGCAGAAATAATGTGAAACTTTAATGTTAATTGTTGCATTTCCTTCAGAGGAAAAACAATTCAGTTTTGCTCTCTTGATGTTGTTACGATGCATAAATGAAGTTTTTTCCCTATTCAGAGGGCATACAAATAGATACATCCGTTTATACACCACTTAGGAGATGGTGAGTCACTACCAAAAATACTTGCTCCTGAGTGTTTCTCAGGCTGTCTCCATACAGGAATATTGGAACAGTTGATAAAATTTGTTCCAACATGGCTAAATTTGTGTGAGAGGGGCTCTTCCCCTCTCTCAGAGGCTGACTGTGCTTCCACTTCAGTGGAAATACACCCCTGTCATCCCTGAATTTGTAATCCTTGTCATTTTCCAGTTGTCTGAGCAAAGAATTATAGAATCAACTAGGTTGGAAAAGACCTTTAAGATCATCAAGTCTAACTGTTCCCCAGCACGACCAAGGCCACCAGTGAACCATATCACTGGTCACCATGAACATGTCACCATTTACAAAGTTTGTGAACACTTCTGGGGATGGTGACTCCACCACTGCCCTGGCCAGCCTGTTCCAATGCCTTTCAAGGAAGAAATTGTTCCTAATACCCAGCCTAAACCTCCCCTGGTGCAGCAGCTTGAGGCTGTTACCTCTTGTCCTGTCATTTGTTCCTTGGGAGCAGAGACCAGCCATCTCCTGGCTCCATTCTCCTGTTAGGTAACTGTAGAGAGCAGTAAGATCCAATCTGAGCCTTCTCCAGACTAAACAGACCAGTTCCCTCGGCTGCTCCTCCTGAGAGCTGTGTTCTAGTGGGAAATAAGACCTGAATTTCTTATGTTAAATACCTCCCTGAAACTTTCAAGTTTACAAATTAAACCAGGTGTTCTTTATGCATCTTGATAAAAAAAAGTCACAAGCTGGAACCTTTTCTCCTAAGAGGTGCTCTTAAGAACCTGGGATAGTTCTCACACCTTACAGTGAAAAATTAGTGTTAGTCATCCACTCTATCTCATAGAAAGATTAATGCCATAAAGCCCTTAAAACACTTAAAAACTACATAAAACAGTAGTGGCATGTCTGTGAGCAAGCACTCCTGCCAAACCAGGTTACAGCTTTCAGTAAAACACACCACTGATGACTGATTTGGAATCAAAGTTTAAAAAGGTGGAAAAAAAATTACGATTTTTTTTTTACTTTTGGTTTTAATTTTCCCTACAAAATGCCATGTGAAACCACACAATGAAAGTACTTGCTGCACAGGCAGTGGTGCCCCCACAAAAGGCAATGAACATCTAAAAATCCTTCATATTTTGGTTTAAGAACTGTAAGGACAGCAAGTCACTACACAAGAATGCCGTAAAAAAGCAGTTTCCAGGGTTTAAGTAAGCTTTAATCGAGCCCTCACTTTTTGTCTGTTTTTTTACTTTAAGGAGAAAGGCATTTGGAGTTGCTCTGTTTAGATTTTTGTCTTTGATAATTACGCAGTGCTTCCAAAAGAATACTGCCATATTTTAATGCAGCTACATAAGAATAGTAAATAAACCAGCCATTAAATCCCTGGGTTTTTTCTCCATCATGAACCCTTATTAAGACCTTCATCTTTCTGCATCTATTATGCAGTACAATTATGTAATTTTTCAACTAAAAGTAGGTATTTATACATAATTGGATTCTTACATTAGTAAACCATTATTCCACTGGCTGGCTATTTGGTTTATGTCACAAGAGCATGGATTGCTACAGAAAGGCCAACATCAGTCACAAATAACCATCCTAATAAGGACATTCACACTATATTATTATTCTAATTAACACTGAAATCTAGAATTAGGGGGAGGAATGCCTGTTGTAAAATATTTCCCAGCCACACATTTTCACTTGGCAATGTAATACCTTCAAGGAGACCAGGTTTGGCAAGGATAAATCTTAAGAAATCAGTTCTGCTTTTTTTCAGAGTGAAAGGGATAAAATTCCAATACTAACAACTAATTGTTCTGAAAAAATACCCAGCTACTAATCCGTTTTAAAAGAGGTCCTATGCTCCTTTACATTAGTTAACCTTATATATATATATATATATATATATATATATGTATATAAGGGCACCTATTACCTGAGCCACCTCTCTTTGGCCAACAGCGTGTGTTGAAAGATGGCACAAAACTCATAGGAATGTCCCTGGCTTTGTCATTTTACACAATTAAAACAAGCTTCTTTTTGCTGGCACAGAATGGGCAAAAGAACCCAGGGACTTCGATGAGGTTCTGAGGCTCCCTGGCGACGGCAGCCATCATGTTACACAAATTCTTTACTTAAACTCCTTGCAAGCATCTGTTAAAGCTCAACAAAGATGAAAGTAAGTTTATAGTAACCAAAGAGAATTACAGAATTAAAACTCCTTCTGCATCTAAATGAATCCTCTATGGCGTTACGTACTATGTAAGAGGTGAAATGTGTCATTAAATCGTAACAAAAATAACCTCTGTACAGCCTCCTGGTTAAAGCACGGCTCACCTCAGCCACCCTGCTTCATCTGAACTGGGGTTCAGGAAGCCAACATACCAACACTCCAACGCCTAACGCAGCACCAGTGGACTGAGACTTACCAACGTGAAGTCAAAACCACTTATTTTAAACTTAAGCATAAAGGTGGCACCTCCTGTGCACTGCAGATCTAATTCAGAGGTTGTGCCCCAAGCGAAAAAAAAAAGTGAATTTATGTTCAGCCACTCAAAAACCATGCTAAGATCTTAAATTGAACAGTGAAGATATTGATTTAGAGTCATATAGTCCAGTTTATTCCCAAAATCCACGCATGGGTGCACACTGATGAACTCTAATTAATTCCTGTATGTTTTCCCTGAAGGCATCAGTAGTTTTGAGGACTTCCATAAGCTGCCCCCGATGGCGTTCGTCTTCTCTTCCAAAAGCCATCCCGTTTTGAAATACAAACCTGACCTCAACAAACATTTTAAAAACACAGTAATGAGAACACCTTTTTTTAGAACACATTTTAATTCTGCTTAGACATATTCCCACTGAGACTATAAATCTGCATATGCAGTACTTTTTTTCCTGTTACAGCAATATAACATTGATTAGTGAAAACAGCAGCTATAAACGTCAGAAGGATCACTGAAAAATTCAAGGGAGCCAAGCCATAAGGATATAAAAAACAACATAAAACTGCTCCAAAAAATTAGATGTTAAAAATTCAGAAGATGATAGGGTACGATACTTTGAATTACACTGGAAGCACAATCAAAAATAATGCTGCTTTATTTGGGGTTTTAATGAGTCAGCTCTGCTGTGGCAGTCTGCGACACTACTCCCAGCTGCTTATTGCACCCATTTGCCAGAGTTACTGCTCCGGAGCAAGGAACACAGACCTCAGCACCTCATCTGGAGTAACTGACGTGTGGAGTATTTCCTGAGGGTCACCATACAATAATTACAATAATTTGCAGCAGACATGTCAGAAGTAATTGTAGCTAGAAAATGGTACTAACATGCTACTTCACTGCAAACACAGAGAACATTAATAAATTGCAATGGAATGTATCATGATGAGCTACAAAATAACCCCTTTGGGAACAGCATAGTTCTGTAATTAACACAGTCCTGATTCTTGCCCTCCCCCATAAAAGGCATAAACAGGCTTTAGCAGAGACTGAGGGTCACAAAGACTTTGACTTACATGAAAGCAGTTAGCAGCAGATCACCTTGGTCCACAGGTACAAGCTGGGGCCATTCTCCCCTTTATATGCTTCTAGGGAAGAAGTGCTAGAATATTCAGGTAACATAAGTAGCCTTTACTACACGCCACTGGATAGATAAGAAGGGACACGCAGACGACGAGTAAGAAACTATTAAGAAAGCACTAAATTTCTGCCTTTCAGTTGCATGTTATGCAAAAACTCCTCCAATATCCACAGCTGTGTTCTATACAGTTCTTTTAGTAAGGGAAACACATTTCTTTGACCAAGAAATCTTCATGTTTAAAGAGACTAAGTATTATAAGGTCATTCATTGCCTGCTTCCCTATTTACTATGCTAATATGGCTTTTCTGAATTCAGAATTTTGTGGCTCTAAAATGTCATAATAAACCCTACTTTTATCAAAGTTTTCTCGGATGTAAAGCAAATCTTCTACAGAGTACACATCCTCTTTTCCTGTCCAAACGGTGAGACTGTACCTATATTAAAAGATAAAACAACAAAGGGAAAAAAACAGAAAGAGAAAAAAGAAAATACGTTAACATAAAAGCATGTAAGTGAGAATCACTGCAAAAAACAATTTAAGAACTGAAGGAATTAAAGAACTGAAAGATAAACTAAAAAAAAAAAAAGTATTTTCAATGTAATTGGGATATGTATCACAGAATCACAGAGTGCTTTGGGTTAGAAGGGACCTTAAAGCTCATCCAGTTCCAACCCTCTTCCATGGGCAGGAACACCTTCCATCAGACCAGGCTGCTCCAAGCCCTGTTCAGTCTGGCTCTGAATGCTGCCAGGGATCGGGCAGCCACAGCTTCTCTGGGCAACGTATGTACATGTAACTGAGCTGTATTTATATAAACAAATCTATGCCCATATAATAAAGACATCTGAAAACAAAGGCCCTCAAACTTACCTATCTGACTGCTGGATTAACCAGCACAGCTCAGATACTGACTGTCGTATCAGTGCTGCTCTTACAGCGAAAGTTACAGGCTGGGGAAGTGTGTTGCATATCTGAGCCATTTCCTTCACCATCGCCCAGTCATAGCCTGCAGTAAACACCATCTCATTAAAAAGAATTCTTCACAAATACAGTCTGTATCAAAATCAGGACACAAAATGGTTTGGTTGGAAAACACAATAAAAGCAAATAAGGGTTTTGTGAAAAACCACATAATTCTAAAATGAAATGGCTCACTGATTATGAGTAAGAACTGTCATTGTCTCAGTGAAGAATATCAGTACTGAAGTGGAAAGCTAAACTTATTTTGAAAATCTTAATTTCCAGAATACAGAATGTATAGAATGTGTGATATTTTATAAGATACAATCTTACCATCTTTTATGAGATGGCATATAGCTTATTTTGAATCAATTATGAAATTTGGAAAAAACAGACTACGCTATGTCAGCATTAAATTTTCAATCTTTACCTTTATTGTGCTTGTCATGGTGCCAGCCAGTTGTCCACCCTAGTGATAAGGTCACATTTGGGAAAAATGAGGTGACAGTGCCAAGGAACCCTTTTGCATCCACTACAGAGCTATTGCCATTAGGTCCTGGTAGGATGTCTGCATTGATCCAAATGGGTCGCCTCAAGCGGTGCTTCACATGTTCAAGAAGTTCCAAGGAAGGCCGTAGGGCTTCTAGGCTGTACTAGCAACACATGGGTGATATGAGACACTTCACTTGGACTGAGTATTGGAAACGTACAGTGTGTACACCAGGTGGACATGTCAATGAAGCTGTACTTCCCAGTCTGAGGACCCTTTTTACCATCAGGTGACTACCACTGCTGGTAAAAAGCACTGGAAGTTTCTCATCTCCCTGCCTCCCTGTATGAACTTTTACCTCATGGCTCTTCTAACTTGTAACTTGTTAAAACTTGGATGATATTGAATGCTTGCAAAGGATTTAATCCAGGGAGCCACTGGATTTGTTTAGATGAGACCACTGGGTTGAAGACAGTATTCATAGTATTATGTGAAAACTAGTATTTGTGGCTTTATAATCTGGAAAATTAGAAATGAATGAATTTAAATATATTTATTCTATTTATTATATATATATATATATATATATATCAAAGATGTTTATATGCTGTTCAAAGGGTAAACGTAATTGCTCCCAACCCTAACAGCACTTTAAGCGTTAAAGCTTTTATCACTATTTCAAATCCAGTCAACAGACTGAAAGTTACCTTCACATCTGCACAAGATAATGCACCTATACGAGGAGAACAAAAGGTCAAAACCTCAACATTTTCTGATAATTTTAGCGAGTGAAAGGGCACCCATCTGAACATTCTGTTCCTAGTAGGGCTTCTTCCCACAGCTTAAAAGCCTGGCGTAATAGTTGCAGCATGAACAAGTCTGCCCATTAACTGTTCATCCTACAGGTAGTTACTAAGTATGAGATGTAGTCACTTGAGCAACCAATGCAGCGCCACTTGTAAGCATTTAATAAGGTAACTTAAGTCACCTATTCTCACTTGTCTCTCAGATAGAAAGAAAAAGCAAAACAATAACCTTTCTCTGTCCTACTAAAACTTTCAAAACCAGAAGTATTGGGGAAGGACAGGAAAAGTGGGAAAACGGGGAAAGGGTATGAATGCAAATAAAATACGTATTTTTCTCTCACAGCAAATTAATTAATGCTCTATGTAACATTCAGGAATTTAAAATCATTATGGCCAGAGTTGTGATTTCCTTACTAACAGCAAGGACCTGTGTTTTCTCCCAAGAGCTGTGCAAACTCTGAATGAGCCAGCTTTTTCCACAAAATCTTGCAGAACTGACAGACAGCTGAGCCAACAGAAAGTTCATGTTGCTCTGCACAGTTAGTTAGTTCCACATCCTAAACTGGTCCCCCTGGGTGTCACAGGAGCACCAGGAAAAGGAAGCGGAGGAGAAGGCACTGTGAAGAATGCCTGTTTGGACAACACAGATGATGGTTAACTGCTTTCCTATATTCCCAGTTTCAAAGAAATGCCATCCAAAATAACATCACTCATTTGGCTACAACTGCAGTGTGTACAACAAAAACCAACCAAGCCCAGCAAATACTCCCAAATGAATGTCTATTTCTCCTGTCCTTTCTCTTCTCTGTCCTGGCAGATATTTAAAGATTCTGTAACAATAAAAGGATTTAATCTGCCCACATCTTTTGGATTCTCATGAACTTTTACGTGAAAACTGTGACTGCATTTCACAGAACAATGGGTAAAAATCACATTTTACAACTGTCTAGCATTTTGGTTTGCATTTCTATAGCATACTTAGGCACTGATGAAGCTCTTTTTAATGTGGAGATGGGTTCTCCATCTGCTGCAAAAATGTATGCTGTACATGCAAATTCAGACAAAGCTAAAGTCAGGGCTTTGAGGTGTCTGAAAATCTCAGCTCACTTTGAACGCCATTTCAGGCTTTTCAAGGAAGTATATGGGGTTTTCGTGTGTACTTTCCATTACATGCAATGAAACAGCTAATGGTTATAATTTGTAAATGAACCCCTGAAAATTTTAATTCATAAGTTAGGCCAAAGAAACTGAATTTAGTTCAATATACATGCACCCTACCACACAAAAAGCAAGAACAATTTTCTGTATTAGAAACCATGCTGAAGAAATCTAATACCACATTTTTATGTGTTACAAGATCAGATATTAAAAGGAGCATACCTAATTCTGGAATTGAAATTATTAGTATTGGAGTTAATCATAAAACAGAATTCCTCTCCTTTGGGAGGGAAAAATAAACAGCTTTGGGAAAATTCAGATATTCATGCTAGTACGGAATGATGGTTCTAAATTATTACGAACTTGAGCACACCTGGAACAGATACGGCTTTTCAGCAAGCTTTTCAGAAGCTCCCTGAAAAACCTTGACAGTTTCATTCCCCTTCCATGGCAGAGAATGGCACCCAGAAAGCAGAAGAGACTTGTGTGCTGCCAAGCAGCCTGGGAGACACTGCTGGACTTCCTGGTCAGAAGGCTGCCTCTCCCAACTTCTTTCCACAAGAAGAAAACTTTCCACAAGCTTCCCAGATAGGTACCATGATTGCAAAACTCTGCTCATTAGCAGCTAAATAACTAATTCACCCAATATGAAATCATTGTTTATGGTTCAAAACACTTCTAAAGCTTTTATTTTTCTGATGCATTTAGTAATTCTAACCCTGTTTGATCATTTTCTGTTCAGGAAAAAATGCATTACACGAAATTGCACCGAAGAAAAACTTTGGTCTAACATCACCAAAAAGACATCTCTGCTTGTAAAATTTTTATTAGCAAGAACATAAACAATAAAAAAATCTTTTTCTCCTGAGATACCTCTTAAAATCCAGCTTGATGCCTTTATCTGTGTTGACAATCTCTTTCAGCCATTCCTGCAATGTGTTGTCACTGTCTGTTTCAGGTGGATGAGCCATGATAGGGTCTCCATTTCCTCCCTGGCCACCACGAAGAACAACATCTGCTTCTATCATGTGCACATCACCTGTTGATATAAAAAATGAATGATCTAACAGAGGCAGAAACAGTAGTTCCAACTTCTGCTTCAGAGTAACAACTAATTACAGGGCAAGTCTTTCTGCACTGGGCTGTATACCTACCTCCACAAAGGTCACCCAGTATAAGTTGCTGTCTGTGAAGCTACAGAAGATATTTTTCTAGGTACTTTAGGCTTCTCTAGGTACTTTAGTCACTTAACCCTTCAGAAGTCTGGAATTACATGAAAAATTATTTTTGTGAATATATTTGGCCAAGTAATCACTTCCCCCCCACAGAGGAACACCAAAATGAGTATCCAGAATGCGAATCCACTCTTGCTAAATTTCAAATCTCTTCCTCTTAAAACAGGGCTCCAGAGAAAAGGTGACCACAAGTTTTTAACACTTTCTTCACTTCATTCTCAAAATTGATCCTCTCAGCCAAAACTTCTTAAAAAGCGTCAGCCAGGAAACAGCACCTACCAGGAGAATGGTAACTGAAACACAACTGAGTGGAAATCTTAGGAATGCTGCAAGCTCTGGAAAACGGCTTTATATAATGGTAAGTTCCTGGGAATCTGGGAAGTGCCACTGGCTTTGTAGAGAATTCAATATATGTAGTTACTTAGACTGAAATAATAATAATGAAAAAGATAATTAAACAGTCAACAGAAAGCAAATGATGTATAAAATTACATAAATAACTTGTGTATTTCCCCAATATTCAGAGATATTAAATTAAAATCCACTCAATTAAACTGCTTACATGAAACCTGGAACACACTGTAATAACTGCAAACAAAATGGGGGTGGGAGCAGTAATAAAAGTGTCCTGTTTGAACAACATTGTATTACAACATTACACAATTTCAAACCACCCTAAAAAGCCCTAGAAGAAGATCCATCCCACAGGGTCAAAACTACCTGGGAATCACAGACTGGTTTGGAGCACTCAGCTCTGCACAGATGAATTAAACAGCATCCTGCCCCTTGTATGAGATTGGCTTGCTGGGACACTGGGTGAACTAGCCCACACCTACAACAGGGCTTTCAATCTCCTCATTTACATCTTCTGTCTGCCACAGCAGATCCACAGAGTGTCACTGCAATGGAGAGGGTGACCTAACATTGAGATCAAACTGGAAAGAACAGGGACACCATGACCACTGCCGCCAAGGCTGCAGTGCTGAGGTGCTGTGGTCTAACCTCAGTATTAGAAAAACCAGCCCCACCTGCGGAAGCAGATTTTGTATCCCCTTACACAAAGATATACTCTGAACTCCTGACAGATTGAGAAGAGCTCTTTGGCAGAAGTTCTTCCCTGTGAGGGTGGCGAGGCCCTGGCACAGGCTGCCCTGAGAAGCTGTGGCTGCCCCACCCCTGGCAGCGTCAAGGCCAGGTTAGACGGGGCTTGGAGCAACCTGGTCTAATGGAAGGTGTCCCTGCCCCTGGCAGGGGGTTGGAACTGGATGAGCTTTAAGGTTCCTTCCAAACCAAACCAGTCTGGGATTCTATGGATACCGTGGGTTTAGTACAAGCGAATGACACCGGAAGTCTCCGGAGACACGGCTCTGCTCTGCTGGCTTTGTTCAGCGGAAGGTCTGACCAGACAGCGCGGCTGCAACCCGCCAGTCTTTTCACAGCTAACGGAGTCTGTCTGACGGAGGGAACACCTCCAACCCCTGTCCTGGAGCCCAAAGGAGCAGATTACGACGCTGTGATGGGCCTCGCAGGGCACCGCAGGGCGGGGCGGGGCAGGGCAGGAAAGCCCGTTCCACTTACTTCTCGCGGCCGCCCTGGCGCGGGCCTTGCTGTTGGCGGCGTGGAACCAGCGGACGGCGGCAGCATCTCTGGCTTCGATGCGCTGCGACCTCAGAAAGTGATCCACCGCCTGTTCGCTCCAGGCACCTGCGGCACCGCCGAAGGCCGGAGAATTCCCTCAGCACCGCCGGGGGAGAGAGACACCGGCCCCTCAGTACCGCAAATCGGGCAGCCCGGCCCCAGCACCCGCCGCGGCACCCCCAGCAACGCAGCTCTTACCCTGCCCCTCGTCCGCCATGGCCCCGCCAGCCCCACTGTGCTCGGTGGGGGCGGTGCTGGCTGCTGACCGGGAGAACGCTTCCTCAGGAAACACGGGAACGGCGGAGCAGAGCCGGGGCAGCGCCGTCTGCTGGAGAAAGGGGAAGGCACCACGCAGGAAGGACGTGGAGCTGTTGGAGCGAGTGCAGGGGAGGCCGCGGAGGTTGCTGTGAGGGCTGGGGCAGCTCTGCTCTGGAGACAGGCTGAGAGAGCTGGGCTGGTTCAGCCTGGAGAAGAGAAGGCTCCTTAAGGGGAGACCTTAGAGCAGCTCCAGTGCCTAAAGAGGCTACAAGAAACCTGGAGAGGGGCTTTGGACAAGGGCCTGTAGGGACAGGACAAGGGGAATGGCGTTAACCTGACAGAGGGGAGATTGAGATGAGCTCTTAGGCAGAAGTCCTTCCCTGTGAGGGTGCTGAGGCCCTGGCACAGGTTGCCCAGAGAAGCTGTGGCTGCCCCATGCTTGGAAGGGACTTTAAAACTTTTCACACCTCTTGCCATGGGCATAGACAACTGGATCGGCCACAGCACTGCTGCCCTGCCTGTGCCTGTGCCAGGAGACCTACCCTACTCCTGCTGCCTGGGGAATGCCCTTTTCCAGAGAGTGTGAAGTGTTGAAGTAAAAAACACTTTTACTTCAGCCAAGGGATTCTGGAGCCTTGCTACTGCTGCCGATGGCATGGCCTCTTGCAGGGTGGGGGAAGTCCAGTGGGCTGGAGGCCTTCATTTTTTGGGGTTGCCAGCCAGGAGTTATGGGGCTGTGGGTGCTGGCCTGCTACCGCCACCTGCACCAGCTCCTTCTGGGTCTGCTCCTGCCTTTCAGGGACGGGCAAAGGAGTGGTGGCCAGGACACCTGTGCAGGGCAGCCTCCAACGTGCAGAGTTCCTCCTCCTGGACAGAGTCTGCAGGGCTGCTGGGGCAGGCTGGATTGGGGTCAGGAATCACCAGCCTGAAACTGGTGGAGCCGGGGTCGCTGCTGGAGCCGGAGCTGGCTGCAAAGCTGTGGTTGGTCTGTGTTACTGCGCTAGAGCGCAGCAGCCTCTGGGCCTCCTCACTGCATCGGCACTCAATGATTCCGAGGACACCATTGACCAGCAGTGCTGTGTGTTCCCCAAGGATAGGCTGCAGCATCTACGGACCATAGACACTCAGGACATGCAGGATGGTGCTCTCAGCAGTCTTTACTAGCCACCACTGTGCCCCATGTATTGCCTGGAGCTGCTGGCATAGCCAGGGCAGCACAGAATTGAGGAGGTGTTCCTCTTTTTTGGAATAGTTCTGCCCACACTGCAGGCAGGAGGCCACGTACAGCCTGCTGCCTTGCAGCCTCCTGCTCAGCTGGGGACAATGTCCCTTGAAGAAAAGACAGCAGAGATGCCAGAGGCGAATGGGGGCTGTTTTCAGCCTGTTGTCAAGGTTCTCTTCTTTCCTGGCTGCTGGCATGTGGCAGCTCTCTGGCAGATACTGCCATAGAAACATAGAATAGTTATGGTTGGAAAGGACCTGAAGATTATTTAGTTACAACCCCCCTGCCATGGGAAAGGACACTTGACACTAAACTGTGACACCCAAGGCTCTGTCCAAACTGGCCTTGAACACTCCCAGGGACAGAGCATTCACAGCTTCCTTGGGCAACCCATTCCAGTGCCTAACCACCCTCACAGTAAAGAATTTCCTCCTTATATCCAATCTAAACTTCCCGTGTTTGAGTTTTAACCCCTTACCCCTTGTCCTATCACTACAGTCCCTAATGAAGAGTCCATCCGCAGCATCCCTATATGCCCCCTTCAGATACTGGAAGGCTGCTATGAGGTCTCCACGCAGCCTTCTCTTCTCCAGGCTGAACAGCCCCAACTTTCTCAGCCGATCTTCATATGGGAGGTGCTCCAGTCCCCTGATCATCCTCGTGGCCCTTCTCTGGACTTGTTCCAACAGTTCCACGTCCTTTTTATGTTGAGGACACCAGAACTGCACACAATACTCCAAGTGAGGTCTTGTGAGAGCAGAGTAGAGAGGCAGGATCACTGACCTGCTGGTCATGCTCCTCTTGATGCAGCCCAGGATACGGTTGGCTTTCTGGGCTGCGAGCACACACTGAAGCCAGCTCATGTTAAGTTTCTCATTGACCAAATGGTCAAAATAAGCATGACCAGCAGGTCAAAGGAGGTGATTCTTCCCTGTGGCAGGGGGGTTGGAACTAGATGATCTTAAGGCCCTTTCCAACCCTAACTATTCTATGATTCTATGACCAACACCCCCAAGTTGTAGTGATAAAGTCATGTTTTCTGTGACTGGAGAAGGCAACTCCCTGATGTACATGCCAGTATCCACCAAAGAGCCGAACTTCGCAGGGTCCTGCTGACCTCAGAGAGAAGGCCCTAGCCCCCAGAACTCTCCCAACCCTGCGAGAGGACGCACACCAGCAGTGCTCCATCGACTCTGGAGTGAAGATCAACAAATTCCTCTTCCACTGACACAGAGTCTCTGGCTGCTGCTGGGGTAGAATCAGAGAAAAACAGCAACCTGAAGATCACTTAGAGTTCATTTCATCAGGGTAGCGGGGACAAAAAGACCTACACTTTAATGTAAAATTGAGTATTCCTAGGAGGAGCAGGTAGAAAGGGCAAGGTTCAGCATATCAGGGATAAGAAGAGGAGGTAATACCAGTAGAACTGATGGTATGAACACTAATAATGGATCTTTCAGGGATGTTTAAAATGAAGGAAGAAACAACAAACCAAATCAAAAGCAACCACTCGGACACTAGCCGCCCCCAAATCCCAGAAAAAGGCAGGTATGTGATGGTCTTTTGGAAAGTGTTTTCAGACACATCCAGTCTGGTTTTGGGATGATCCTTTTGTTGAGGAGCAGGAAGCAATTACTAAAGTCAGACCAAGAAGGAAGGAAAAAGTAAAACCTTTTAGACATCATGTTTTTGTTTCTGATCATTCACTGAAGTCCCTAACACAGGATATTCCAAACACAGAGAAGGCTAGGGCATGCATATACTGGGAAAGTTGTAGTTTTGTGAGCCATTTGTAAGAGGCAGTAAGCACAGGAACTGAACAGGTTGGCACTGCCCAGAATGTGCTCCTGGCACCTGGCACTGTGTTGACTGGTGTTACTTGTGAGGGAGAGCCGATTCTTCCACATGGCCCTTACGGAGGCTCCAGCAGATGTAGTCAGTCCTGTCACCCCAAAGTTACTTATTTCAGTACTTTACAAAAAAGTTGTTTGAAATTACTCATTTTGAGATGAACATGCAATATTATTGGTAATCAGGTGTTGAAACCTTACAGATATGCTGTATAAACCATTCAAAATTTCTTAGGCTTCTGCTGTTTCTTATTCTGCTTCTGCTGCTTCCATCTGCTTCCCCTGCTGTGCCAATGCTTTTGCTGCTGCTTTTCTTTTTCTCCCACATCTGCTGCAACTTCTGCTTCTTTTAGTTCTGTTCATTCTCCTTCTCCTTCACCACATCCTTTTTGCTCCTCCTCCCGCAACCACCACAGGTCCTGGTAGGGAAAGGGCTGGGATGCAAGATAACCCGTGAGCAAAGAGCCCCACTGCCTTTTCCCTTCCCTATTTACTTTTCCCTTCCCTTCCCCATTCTCTTGGGCAGCCTCACTGCTCCTTTGTCCAGGAGTGGCGCCAGACCCAGACCTGCATTCCCACTGGCCACATGCTCTCCTCACAACACCCCCAGCAGTGGCATCCACAGCCTCCTGCAGGGCCAGGAGTAGCAATTCCCTCAGGAAGCCCCCTCACCACCAGTCCCAGTGCTGGATGCTCCCACAGCCTCCTGGGAACCTGGGAAGTGTGCTTCCCTCAGGAACACAGCTCACCCAGCCCCTCTCTCTTCCTGGGACAGCCTTTCCCTTCTTTGGACCATCTTTCTGCACCCCAGCCCTGGGGCAGCCCCTCAGACTGTCGCAGGGGTCAGAAAAATCATCTCTGCTTCAGTTTTTCTTTTTTACATTTCTCTTAGGAGGCCGCCACCTTGCCCTTGAGTTTTGCTCGGGCTGCAATGAGACCACCTGTAAGTGGCCATAAAGCTGTCAGCAGTCTAGGACCAGCACCCCCTAACAACACTGCCTTCCCTTTGGAGAGGCATCTCCCTAGATACACGGGGAACCAGGGCTGATGTGCACACAGCTGGTGGCAAGACAGTGTCTGCACTGAACACACCCCACATGACAATTACATGTAGAGACAATGTGCTGGATGGGTTCAAATGTGAACTGTGGGTGTTTCACAGAGGCTGTCACTGAAATTCTTTCACTATACTAAAAAAACCCACATCTCTTTTCTTCTTCAGCATCTCCTAAATTGCTGGTGTTTGAATGGCCATTTTTAATTCCACCTTGGAATTTTGTTAACATTGCTGAGGGAGCCAAAATGGACCTGGAAGGAGGCATAGTGCTGACATTCTTGAGCCTGCCTGCAGCTACACAAGGTTAACAAGTGCCAGCACTTCCTTTAATAGGTTACTCACCAGCTCTTCAACAATCTGAGACTTCATCCTGTTCACACATTGTATGCCACTGCAATTCAGGCAAGAGCATATACATTTAAACAGAAGAGATTATTAAAGAGAATAATGCTTAATGTTTTTGTGTGAAAAGAGGTTTTACGCAAATTCTCTAAACATGTAGTTGATAGTGATAAATCTCTTTACTACTACAAGTTATAGCAAACCAGGTGAGTATTGAATATTGGCTTAGCAAAGGGAAGGCCAATAGCAGTGCAAAGCAGTTGATGTGAAAGTAGGTCTACTTACTACTACTGCTACCCGGTCCTACTGTAAGAAAAGCTGAACAGACACAAAGAACCTCAGAGTTTTGCTTGCAAATTAAAAACCAGTATTTCATACCGTACTGCCATTTGCACTAGAGCGCTCCCTGCAGAAAGCACCCCACCTAAGGCACACTGAAGAGGGGGAAAGGTGCTGAGAGGCACCAACAGCCAAAACTATTTTACCTTTGCTGTAGTGAGAACAGCTGTAACAGAAAAATAAGGAGTAAATTCCCCTCCTCAAAATTAAGTAGCTACAGATGGAAAGACTACAACTGTCCCTCAAGAGGGTACAAAGCTG